ACCCAGGAAATAAATCAGAGGAAGTAACAGTTTCTCCAATATTCTATTTCTATTTCTAAGCCAATATGTGAGGGAATGTGAAAACTATGATAAAATTATCACACTGTTCTACATAAATCATCCTCCAAGCAAATGTATTTTAGACACAAAATACCATCATGAAGCGAGTATGTTTTGAAAATAAGTGATGACATTCTTTAAACCCTATAATATTGGGTTTCTGATAGTGCAAAATTTATACATTGAACACACATATAAGTTGGTGGGAGATTTGCCGATTGGAGCCACCATTTGGGAAAGTCACTAGAGTCAGTTTACCATGAAGCCTTCCACATGGTCTTACATGTTCTTTCTAAAAGCCCTGCTGTTCTTTGAAGTTCTGATCAATTCTGTGTCCTTCCTTCAGCAGCTTATTAGTCTCTATGTATGAAAACAACTATAAAATTGCCCAGAACATAAAATTAAACTGACTTTCTGTTCCTTCTGATTCTTATAATTAGCATTTCCTGTTCACTGTCTCCTACGTATGAGAGGGTCCAATTCTCGATTGCAACAGCCATCCCCATCCCAGGCAAACTTGACCAGTGTCTACACTTTTGTTTCAACTGAACATTGACTCTAAGCTGGCAATAGATTTATTTTCTTCTCTGCGATGGGACCATAAAAAGACCTTCTCCTCTGACACACTTCACTACAATGCAGAAAAGAGGTGCATAATTTGTTTTCATCCCCCCAAATTTAAACCTCATATTTTTACCTACCTGACTTCACCAAAGTGCGCCAGACCAAAGTCTTGTGTCTTTTGTCCGTAACTTCAAGTATGATTGGTTCCTCCATCTTCCCAGCAAAGACTTTAGAGAACACCTGGATTTCCCCAGGACTCCTGTAGGATAATTTCAGCTCCTAGAAGAAGCAAAGCACTTGAATTAAACTATCATGGGGTTAAGGGCGGGAGTAGAGAGGCTTGTTTGCTTGCAATGAACTGCTCACTGAAATATTAGCCAGTTCCTAAACAGTATTGTGGCTGGTTGAGGGGAGAACAAAAAGAGAATGGTCAACAATCTTTTAAATTTACAATTTTAGGAATTAGTATTATTCCATGGAAAGAAAGGTAGCCGAGCTCCTATCAGGATATGGTTCGGAGAATAATCACCTGAGCTACTAACCCTCCCCTGGTCTTCCTTTTTTTAAAAAAAAAAAAATATTTTGAAACCCGAGTGAAATTTGGGTTACATTCAAATTCTACTGACCTCAGGCATTATTTCCAGGTGAGCTGAACCGGACACAATATAACGGGAACCAAAATTCAGGGGGTCCACGGGGGGTGAGGTCTGCAGACGCACACCATGAAACTTAGTTTCTTCATCATCTATTGCCTGAGGAAGAAGCAGCAGAATCAAATCAGGAAGCAAAACTAAAACTAAACATATGCCTCTGGACATGAGGGATTTTTTTTTTAAGATTTTATTTTTAAGTAATCTCTGTACACAATGTGGGGAGCAAACTCCCAACTCTGAGATCCAGAGCTGCATGTTCCTCCAGCTGCCCCAGCTTGGTGCACGAGAGACGTGTATTAATAAAATTTTCCGGCTGGTTATTCAGAGCTAGGGATTTCTTTCATTTTTGTTTGTTTGTTTGTTTGTTTGCTTTTTCCTTAGCGGGGCAGATGGGCAGAGAAAGATGGAGAGAGTGTCTTCAGCAGGCTCCAAACTCAACACAGAGCCCAACTCTGGGCTCCTTCTCAAGACCCTGAGATCATGACCTGAGCCAAAATCAAAGGTTACACACTTAACCAACTGAGCTACCAATCGCCCCTCCCACACACTAAGGATTTCTTTTCATTACAAATCTCTGTACAGAGTTTGATTTTTCTTTGTATAATGTGGCAGGGATAGACTCAGTGTTCCTCAAATCCGGGGACAAAGAGGCTTCCTCCTTGTGCCTCGGCAGAGGACCATTGCTGTCCGCAGCTGCATCTATGAGGGACGAGGGTAGAGACGACTTCCCTCCATCGCGAGGCTCCTGCTCCATGAGGTGACAGCCGCCTGCCCACCAGCAAGCAATACAGCAGTGACGTCACCCCAGAGAGACCCAGAAGCAGAACAGATCTCAGAGCTCTCTGAGGATCCACCCATGATACAGAACAGAACTCAAACAACAAAATAATAATAACATTCGACGAGTCTCAGCTACAGCTCAGTACACACTTTCTGGAACTAACAAGCAAGAATTGTTGTCAAAAACAATTACAGAAGATGCTCTCATCAGTCCAATTAGTAAATACTCTTGGTGGGTAGCAATTAGGTCGGGACAGGAAGGGGAAAGAAGCTGGTGATGTCCACTTCTCCATCTAGGTGCTGCACACATGGTGTGTTCACTGCAAAAATTAGGGAGTGATCCATTTATCTGCGTATTTGATTCATGTTAAAAGAAATCCATAGATCCATTTAAAGGAAGGGTGTTCAATGCTGAAACATGAGTTTCATGTGAGCATAAACGATGCTCAGTCGGTTAAGCGTCTACCTTCAGCTCAGGTCATGATCCCAGGGTCCTGGATGGAGTCCTCCATCCACCTCCTTGCTCAGCAGGGAGCTGGCTTCTCCCTCTGCCTGACACTCCCCCTTCTTGTGCTCTCTCTATCTCTCTCAGTCTATATTTCTCTCTCACTTTCTCTCTCCTGCAAATAAACAAAATCTTAAAAAAGAAAGAAAGAGAAAGAAAGAAAGAAAGAAAGAAAGAAAGAAAGAAAGAAAGAAAGAGAATAAAAGAAACAAGCACAAGGTCCAAGGATGGGTAATTCTCACTTCTCCAAATCTGCCAACCTTACCTTCGTTAGCAAGGAGTCACTGGGGATAAGGTACAGGTGAAATTTAGTATCTTCAGGGTAGAAGTGATAATAGAGCAGTGTCGTGGAAGTGATGGGGACTGAAACACGAGCCCCACTAGCCAATCTCAGCAGGATCCCCATCAGAGAGAAGCTGGGGTTTTCCAGCACAGCATAGAAAGGCTCCACTCGGGCTGGTGGCTCTAGGACCATCCCTTCATCCTTAAAATGGGCAACGTGGAACCAAGACATATCGACTTCATTTGCTGTAGGACAATGACAAAGGCCATCAGACAAGTTCCCCACCAGCCCCCACAGTCCCCTTTCCCTTCCTTACCTGGCAGGGAGATGATGTGAGGGAGGTGAATTTCAGCAATGACCCCCTCAGGCTCCACGGAGATATCAAACAGTGGGCCTGCCACCATCCACTGCTCCTCGTGCTGTAACTTCAGATCCAGGTTCTGACTCCAAGAATCGAACACTATCCTCACGGTCACCGCTGCTGTTACCAAGAATCCAAGGTGTGTCACTGGCCACAAGTAGAAGCCAGCCATGGGGAAGTGTACGCTGAAAGGAGACAGAGTGATAGTCATGCTGGGAGAAGAACAGGACTTTGATTTTTCTTTTTTAGATTTTATTTATGTATTTCAGAGAGAGTGAGTGAGAGAACATGAGCAGGGGGAGCAGTAGAGGGAGAGGGAGAAGCTGAGCAGGGAGCCTAACCTGAGGCTGGATCCCAGGACCTTGGGATCACGACCTTAGCCAAAGGTGAACCCTTGATCGACTGAGCCACCCAGGCTCTCCGGGTCTTTGATTAAAGAACAAAAGTGCAGAGGGAGGTGGTGTTTGTGGTAGAGCAAAGTTCAAGACCCTTCTTTGGCTTCATCACATTAGAAAAATCTGGGGAGTTAATGAAGCTCTCTGGGCCCCACTTTCTCTGTATTCTATATGTGTTGAAATGAAAACACCAACTCAGTGCATAGGATCAGAGAATCCTGACAAAATTTCCAGTGTCGAAGGGATGAATTGCATACCTTATCATGTAGGTGTGTACATGTAAGTATCACACAGCACATACTTCCTTTAAGGGAGAATTGTATTGAAACAAACAACATCTTCAATTCTTACCTGTATCTGTTTGCACTCTTATCAATCAACTCAATATCCACATTTCCTTCAGGTCCCAGAAACTGATAACTATGACAAGCTGGTCCAACCCCAAAAACGAGTTTAGGAGCCTCGAGGGGCACTAGTGTCTTCTCTTCCAAGCAAGTGTCTTCTGAAAAATACACATTGTACGTGTCAGATTGGATTTGTTGGAAAAGGCCTAAAGGCGTTCTGGATTCCCAACAGCACATGTGCAATTCGAAATCCAGAACGCCTT